GCTTGGCATTAACTTGCACATGCTGCCAAGCTGGGACCACTTGTATGGAATGGTGAGGGAGCGTCCACCATGCCTTAGCTCCCATGGAGCTCCCTCAACTGGGGCTGCAGTCTCTGCCAGTCGGGGTTCCTAAACACCTTCCCCATCAGTCTCCAGTCTGTCGCAGGGGTCCTTGAGCCAGTCACCCAAGGTACCTCCTGAACATGTGTTGGAAATATAGTCTCAGGTCCCATCCCAGACTCCCAGTGTTCAGCTGAGGACTCCTGCATAGTCCCTGCAGGAATAGGGTGGCAGGGAGTGATGGGGTCAGACAGAATCCAGGCTGAACCTCCTCTCTGCCAGGGAGTGGCGGCATGTCTGAGCTCAGTTCTGATCCCTATCAAATGGGGATGATAACCCTTGCTCACAGCTGGGTGTGACTGAGTGGCTGAGCGGACTGACACTGCATTAGCACAGATACCAAGGCTCAGCAGGCCACATCTGCTGTCTCCAAGGTCCAAAATGGACATGCTGGGGACACTGGCAGGTTCCAGAGCAGTGGGCCTTTCAGGCACGAGGCTTCTGGCTCATGCTCAAAGCCTCTGCCTGTGTCCTATGTCCTCTGAAGAGTCCTCATTGCTGGCCTGGGATGGACACTCGGGAGGACCAGATTAGTCTGTAGCCTTCTACCAGAGCAGCTAGCTGTATGCAGGTGTCCTCTGGGCTGCAATGTCACCTGACAGGTGGGGTGAATGCAGCCAGGCTTCATTGCTGTCCTTCCTCATCAGGCACACACATCTGCTCTTGATCCCATTTCCTACCTGGGGCTCCCAGATTAAGACCAGTGTAGGGGGCAGGAGGAAGCAGGGGTGGGAATGGCTGTGGGGAGGGATGAGAAGTGTGGAGGCATCAGGATATTTTGTCCTTGAAGAGTGGGGCTGGGACTGGTGCAGCAGACAGAGGCCGCCTCCCTCCCCACCCTGCTTGGGGCGTTCCACTCTCCTAGGACAGCAGGGCGGAGGGGGAGCCAGGCTTGACAGGCCCCACAGCCATGGTCTGAATCTCAACACTGCCTCTTGCTGGCCAACCCTTCATTTCTCAGTCTCCCCAGGGGGAAGCAGAGATCCCACCTGGCAGAGTCTTCTGCAAGGGCACCTCAAAAGGTCTGTGGGAAATACAGCATTTGCCTGGGTACAATACAAGGAAACCCATGCCTGTACATAAACTCTTGGAAGACATTCATTGTTTTTGCGTCGAAGTAAACTGTTTTGGATTCCATTTTCCCTGGAGTTTGGAAATACATGTGTAAATATAAGCTGACAGAGAGGAGCCAGTGTTCAGCGATCTGGGCTCCCAGGGGGACATGCAGGGCCTGTGTTCCCAGCCCAGGTCAGACAGTCTACACCAGGGTCTGTGGCAAGCAGTCACTCGGTTATACCTCCACAGTTCCTGTAATACTGACGGACTGAGAATTTTCTACATAGCTAAGCCAGGCTTCCTTTTTTGCTGAACAGTTCCATCTTTGGGTAGTTTCTCCTCTTCTTACATTTTCCTACAGGCAGGCTGGAGGAACCAAGCCACGCCTTACACACGTGCCTTGAAAAGTTCCTGAGCTAAGCACCCCTGTCCATCTCCTTCAGCTCTGTCTGCTATTGACCGCTGGGACACAGATTCAGCTGCGTTCTTTGCCACTTTGCAGGGAAGATCAGCTTTTCTCCTTTGTCTAGGAACATGTCTCTTTTTTGTTCCACATCACTGTTGAATGGCCAGAATTTTGCATGAAATGACTTAGGTATCTGCCAAGAGTGAGGCTCTCAGTACAGAACTGCCTTTCAAGCTCTGTCCAGGGCAGTGAGGGATGTTTCTGTCATGTACCTCTCAAAATTCTTCCAGCATCTACTTGGGATATAGTTCTAACACTGCCTCCACATTGCTGGGTGCTTGGGATGGCAGGACCCCATACCCAGGACCGGTTTTGTCCTAGTCTGCACATAATACACATAATAACTCAATAGACTTTTCTGTCTTGCAGATCTGGAACAGGTCAAGATCAAGGCTGCCATGGACTTAGTACCTGGAGAGGGCCTGCTGCCCCTTTCACAGGTGCTGTCCTATTCTTATGTGACAGAAGGGACAAGGGAGAGCTCTCTTGGGCCTCCCTGCTAAGGTCACTGACCCCATCATGGGATTCTTAATCACTTACAAAGTCCCAACTTCCTACTGCCACCACACTGGGGCTGAGGATAGCAGTGTGTGAATGAGGGCTCCATTTGAGGCACTTTCTAAGCATTGCCAGGATCTTCTAATATCCAGACACTGCTGGGGCTCAAATGAGAAAAACAGACAGGAGTCAAACTTGCCCATGGTCACACAGCTGGAAAGCGGGCAGGACTGAGACCCAGGCAGGCTGGCTCCCACAGCCCAGGGTCTCGTGCTGTGTAGGGACGTGACCAGTCTCTAAGGGGCACCTGTGCTTATTGCTCCACGTTCATGGGGGAGACAGAATCAGTGCTGGGGCTCCCCTTGTCTGGCATTTTCCCATACCATGCTGGGGCCTATTTAATCCTTTCTATGGCCCTAACAGGCTTCTCATGAGACAAGAGGGCAGGCCCTCTTGGGAAGCCCCTTGCCCTCTCTGTGGAGCAGAGCACAGGGTCTGAGCTAGCACAGCCCACCCTAGCCAGGTCCCCTCACGGTCCCACACCTGTGGGAACAAGCATTTCCTTAGAGGCACCATGGAGTGTCTGCTCACAGGGCTACATCCTGCCTTCCTTGTTGAACAAAAGGAGGAAAATGCAGTTGGGGCTGCACAAAGACACACCACCAAGTGAGGGGACTGTAGACATGGGCCTTCCCATGGTCCCCTCTCTCCCAACTTGGGTAGGCTCGCTCACCCCCTCCTTGATGCTTTCACAAGCCCACCACGGTCTCAGCAGACTGGGGCTCACACAGCCAAACACAGCGAAAGCAGGACAGAAATATGAAGCCCCGTCACAAGCCCTTCTGGCTGCAGCAGCACCTGAATTTGAACTTTGTTCTCATTTCCCTCCCAGGGAATCACCCAAGAAGGCAAGCAGCCTCCAGCCCCTCCCGGCATGGCACCATGCAGCCTGCCCTAGACCTCAGCATGGCACCCCTAGCTCACTCCACACCTCCTACAGATTGCCTCTCCCAGCAGGCAGGCCACCTCTGAGAACCAGGCACCTGCCTGACAGTGAAGGTCCCCTCCCTACCACCCACTATCACACAGGCCTCCCAGATTCTAACACCAGCGGTGGCCTGAGGCACTAAAGTGCTGAGAACACCACTGAGGCATGGCAGGCTCCTGCAGTGGGTTGGGTAGAATGGTAGGAAGACATGGGCTGGGGGTGGGGAGAGTGATTTCTTCTTTGTATCAAGTTTCAGAGAACCTCCTAAGGGTGTCCTCTTTAATACTCAGAACTAGGAGAAAGAGTCCCTGCTGGGTCTGACCAAGACCATGAGGGCAGGAACCACCACCTCCCCCGACCCCGAACCACCCCAACCATCCACGAGATTACTGGCTGCCTGCTGGTACAGCGCTAGCCAGGGCTTGCCTCCCAGGGACACAGGGGTGAACTCACAGATTCACAGGTCTCAGGGTCACCACTTCCCGAGGGCAAGCACCCTCCGTCCCTCCCGCTCCCCTCCTGAGGAAGAATGCCTAGTCTTATTCTGCTCCTTTCTCTCCTAACTACCACCATGGCCTTTAGCCTTACGGGAGCCTTCGCAATACCCCAAAAATAATCACGTTCACAACAGGTACTTGGCAATTGCCGGGGGTCACCGTCTCCCAAGGAGGGACAGTGGACCTTGGGTATCATCTCTGCAAACAAGGGCCTCCCATGCCCATGACTGCCATGAACCAACCAGAGCGAAGCAACTCTTAGGTAGGCTGAACAATGCTTCAGACGTCACCACCAACATTACATATTGAAATAAACCTTTGGCGAAAGCCAAGGTGTCAGCTGGCCCCTATGCCTGCTCCTGGTTGTGGAGTAAGAGAGCACTCCTTCAGCTCCCTCCTGCAGAGTCCCTGCTGGTTGAGGTCCCTCTGTTCCCAAGCAAGCACACATCTCTGGGACCTAAGGCTCCCTCCTCCTCCTCTTTTAGGGCCTTAAAGTGACACTGCCTAGGGTGGAACACACAGACCTTTGAGGTTCTAGTCAACACCTACCTGCTCTTCAAAAATGTCCTCATATTACCTGACCTAAGTTTGCAGCTTCCTACCAAGGCCACAGTGCATATGAGGGAACTTCCACAAGTTCATGGAAAATGCAATTAAAACAATGTGAGTGTCCTGCATGGTGGCACAGCATCCTAAGCTGCCACCTGCGGAGTAAGCACCTCTTACGGGTGTTGGTTCAAGTCTTGGACGCTCCACTTCCACTCCAGCTCCCTGCTAATGCACCTGGGAACATAGCAAAATATGGTCCAAGTGTTTGGGTCTGCCACCTATGGGGGAGAGCCAGTTGAAGTTCTAGGCTTCTGATTTTGGCCAGGCCCGGCCCTAGCCATCATTAAGTATCTGGGTTGTGAACCAGGAAATGAAAGATGTCTCTCTCTGTAACTGTGCCTTTCAAACAAATTTAAAATAATTTTTAAAAAATTGATAATACGCGGGCCCGGCGGCTAAAGTCCTTGCCTTGAACGTGCTGGGATCCCATATGGGCGCCGGTTCTAATCCCAGCAGCTCCACTTCCCATCCAGCTCCCTGCTTGTGGCCTGGGAAAGCAGTCCAGGATGGCCCAAAGCCTTGGGACCCTGGGTGTGGGATACCCGAAAGAAGTTCCTGGATCCTGGCTTCAGATCGGCATAGCATCGGCTGTTGCGCTCACTTGGGGAGTGAATTATCGGATGGAAGATCTTCTTCTCTGACGCTCCTCCTCTCTGTATATCTGACTTTCGAATAAATAAATAAATCTTTTAAAAAAATTGATAATACGCATTTTCCACTTTCTGAAGACCACCTTATACAGACACCACTATAAGTTCCACTGAGTCCCTAGTATTTATTATGCCCTTAGGCCAATATCCTTTTCTGTCATAAGTATGAGCATTAAAGGATCTTGCCCTGACCCAAGCCTCATACTATAGGCCAATCATGATTTTCCCTTTTGATACCCAAGTTTGTGGTTTAGTCCTAGCATAGAGCGGCCCTCGGGGAGCCCAGCAAGGCTGTGGAAGACTTGGGACAGGCCTGCCTTCATGGGTTTTCCAGTCCAGCTGGTGGGTGCCATCTCACCTGGAGAATTAGGGGTCTGTGTGGGCTTGGTGTCCAAGGACAGGCCATCCCATGGAACCTTCATGGCTGCCAGGGTGGGGAAGGCTGGGCAATCTCTCCCTTCTTGCTGTTAGCTGGATGGAGCGAGGCTGGAAGACCAGAAAGAGGCTGCAACTGGCTTCTGGTGCCAGCCTTCCAGCAAGCCAAGGTCAAGCGCCACTGAGGATGAGGAGGCAGGGAGAGATGCTCACCAGCAACTGGGAGGGTGACCACTTCCACTTTGAACTGTGTCTTCTTCAGTTGTCTCTGGAATGTTCTGTGAGGGGGTTGAAAATGTCTGTGCCTTGCACTTCCAGGCTTGGATGTGCATCTTGGAGAGATGAGGTTAGAGTGTGCCCTGCTTTGTGCACAGTGAGATTCCAGTCCCTGCCTCCACATCACCTGAGCCCACAGCCCTCCCTGCTGGCCACTTCTGGGGGCTGCAGGACACAGAGCAGCATTGGTATGTGAAGTGTCCTGCCCCTAGATGAGGTGTTCCAGCAGGGCTGAGCCTGCTGAGCCCAGCATCAAGCCCAGAATCAGGTACAAGGACATGACCACGCCCGTGGCCTCAGCCAGCTCCCTGGCCACAATTTTGGGCCCGTACATGAGAACCAGGGTGCTGAGGTAGCCGTTGCTGAGCCCCAACAGGCAGGTGAAGAACACGGGGTAGATGTCCGACATGAAAAGCACAGTGCTCAAATGCCTGCGTGGCTGGTAGTTACAGAACACAAACAGGGGCACAAGGCCGGTCCGCAGGAGTACCAGTCCAAGCAGCGCCTTACTTCTGGGCCCCGGCATCTGGATCCAGGCCGTGATCTGCCGGCCGCACAGGTCTGCAAAGTTGTACAGGAGGAAGGTGGTAAGGGGCACGAAGAACTTGGTGGTCCAGGGCGAGCCGGAGCCCTGGTGAACGGACTGGATGTTGGTGGAGATGGCAGGAAAGATGAGGCTGGTGATGAAGAAAAGGTAGATGGTGCAGAAGCCCAGGCCCGCAGTCTTGCGCAGGATGGGGCGCAGGGGTGGGGTTGGGAGGACTCTGGACACAGGTGCCACCAAAGGGCTGCTTGTGGGGTCTGGGGGCAGCTCCTCTTCACCCGAAAACACATGGGCTGGGGACACAGGCCTCAGGTAGTACCTGCGATCAGGAGAGGGGGAGTGGTCACTTGCTACTTCCAAGGACAAGAGCCCAAGCCCAGCATTTCAGGGTCAAGCAGGGGCTGTGGGAGGGACAGAGGTATGCTCAGAACAGACACCCCACACGCACACTGAGCCCTGAGATCCCACAAGATGCCACAGTGGCTGTGATGCAGCCATTGGAAAGTCTGCCCTGTCCCTGCCAGGTGGGGCTCTGGTCATTATCCTGGAGAGCTGGTCAGGTCACCAAGAGGGGCAGAAGGACCCACACTGACAGCCACACAGGGAACACAGTCTCCTGTTCTAACCTGCCTGCCTCCATGTATGTTGTTTAGGATGGGGGAAGTAGAGATCAAAATGCAAAAGTGTTCAAAATAAGGCCTGCATGATGCAATGTAGCCACATAATATGGCAGAGAAATGATGCAGTGAGAAGAGAGCCCACTTCTGCTCTGCTCCCTCAGTAGGCTGATCATCAGTACGCCTCCCCATGTTATACCATACAGGTGCAAACACCACCACACACACATAAAACTCCCTGCAATAGCCTACCAACACAGCAAGTTGTGCCAATGATTTCCCTACACGGAACCCGATGTCTAAATGTGTACCCATGACTGCCTAAGCAGCAGTCTCCTGTGGCCACCATTTTACACGGGACACAGGGCTCTGCTCTGTCTGCCACACTGCCGCTGAATGGTTCGCTCTGTGGACTGCTCCCCTTCTGCTGGACATCCAGGTTGCTTCCATCACAAATAACAGTGTATCAGGGCTTCTACATGCAAATCCTGCACCTGAATATCAGTGCTGAGGCACGGCAGAGTTCTAGAGCAGGAACATGATGGAGCACAAAGTCTGCATCTGGGACACCCCGATGGGTGAGGACAAATGGCTCTCCAGACAGACTGTGGGACGTCATTTGTCCTCCCTAAGTCCCCTGCCCTCTTCATCTCCACCAGAGCAGCTGCTTAGCTCTTCCCAGAAACAGCACATGTCATCTGTAGCCACTGTACTGGTTTGCTGGTTTATAGACAGACCCTGGAAAGCACCATACTTGAGTGCTTTTAGCTAAATCTCTAGGCACAGGGTAGTCCTTGAATGCACAGTGGATGAAAGAACTAAGCAGCCTGCACAAGGATCTTCCCTCCATGCCCCTGGCTATTCTCAACACTGAGTATTACCAACCTTTCCAACTTTTGCTTCAGTCATACTGCCTTGCTGTGTGACCCTGCTTAAGCCACTTAGCCTCTCTAGGCCTCAGACATCTGAATGCAAGCTGTGCCAACACAGCTTGGTCAGAGAGACTCAGTGCACATATGCTTGTTGTGGTGGGGGAGGGGAGCAGCAGAGAAGGCAGCTGCTTGATGGTGGCTGGTTCTGGTCTCAGCTTTGCCTCTGCCTCCTGGGGTGGTCTGGGGCCAGTATGCCCCTTTCTAGGCTCAGTTTCCTCCGTGAAATGGAGATTTCATGAGGCCATGAGGTTCAGCCCCTACCAGCGCTCCCACCCTAAGAGCCCATAGAGCCCAAGTGAGCAAGCAGGAGAGTGCGGGTTCCTGCATATGGTCACTTCTCCACGTGATGCTCAGCTGGGCATTTGGCCCCAAGCCCCCATCTGCTTTCACAATCATAGTGTTGGGGAGGAATCTTCCCACTTCCCTCTCTTGGACTCAGGGTTGGGTCCAGAGTCTGCTCTGCAAAAGCTCCTGCCAAGTTCCCCCATGGCTGAGGCTCTTCCTCTCGAGTTCTCCCCAACCATGCTGCCTCATCTTGCCCTTCCAGGCATGGTACCTGTGGGCATCTCTTGCGGCTCTGTCCTTGGATAGGCTTCCTTGGAGTGTGGCAGTGCTGGCAGGTGCTGCAGTTGGCAGACTAGATGACTAGAGCCTGTGCAGGATGGCCCAGACCTGGGAGTTCCCTGGGGCAATGGCTCAGATGGACCAATGAGCCTGGAAGCTCTAGGCCCAGCTGACTGCGGTCACTGGCCAGCATCATTATGCTCATGCAACATGCCATCCTGGAAGCTCCGCCATGTCTGGGTGACCAGGGCGGCGTTCGCCTTCCTTCCTGAAGACACAATGGGCAGACCCCTAGGCCTTCCCTGGGACTCAGTCTCCTGACCTGTACAATGGGATAGTAACTCCTGCCTCTCCTACGTCAAATCAAAGAATAGGAAAATACTTTGGAAAGAATAGAACACAAGAGAACATCAAAGGTGTTTTTAAGAAAGTAGTAGCAGAAAGCAAGAAAGAAAAAGGAGAGAGAGAGAAGCAAAGAGAGAAAAGAAGAGGGGGAGGAGGAAAAAGAGGAACAGGAAGAAACTCAAGGCAGGAAAGATTTCCAGAAGGCCAAAAGGAGTGTAACGAGGCAGTGATTGGTTGAGGGCACATTCACATCCTGGGTCCACTCTAGGAGGCAGCAGGTGATGGGTCAAGTTCTTGGTTTCTGCCACACACAGGAGACGCCAGCATGGTGCTTCCGGCTTCAGGCGGGCCCAACTCTGATTCCTGAGGGGCATCTGAGAGAAAACTAACAGAGGGAAGCTTGGCATCTGGGTCTCTGCCTTTCAAAAAATATACATAACTAAAATCATTTTAGTCCTGGTTCTGCTACCCACTGAATGTGACACTCAGGCAAGTCCCTGGATTTCTAGTGTGTGCGCAGAGATAAAAACCAGCATGGTGTTGTAGCGAAGGAGGAGCAGGGGCATGGTGCACGAGACACAACAGGTGGCTGCGCTGAGTGCAGTGCTGCAGCAGGTGAGGTGTTGGGCAAACAGCATTCCCACTGCTGTTCTACCACTTGCCTCACCATCCTTGCACCTGTAGACCCCACCTGCTGGGGCTACTACCTTCAACTGGCTTCTCCCATGTGTCAGCCAGGGCAGCTCACTGAGCAGTTGTTCTGAGCCAGGCACACTGCTTCCCCCTGCCCCGGGAAGTGGGGAGCCAGAGAGAACAGACAGGGACCTCGCTGGGTGACAGATGAAGGCCAGTAATGCTGCAGAGAAAAGAGGATGAAGACTGGGTGAGGGAGGGGGCAGGCCTTCACCTGGCATATTCCAGTCTGGGCAGCAGCAGGTAGAGCCCAATGCAGAGCCCCAGGAAGAAAGCTGCGGTCAGGAAGAAGGCCAGGGCACTGTCCGTCACGTCGCTGGATGCCGCCAGGTCCACCAGTGCGGCCACGGCGCTCACGGTCCCTCCCATGGCTCCTCCTGCAGAGAGCAAAGATACCACAGGGGCAGTCAAGGGCACACATGGGGAGGTGTAGGGCTGCAGGTTCCCCTGTCCCCTCACCCAACATGGAAAATGTCACCACTGTCACAATATTCTAAAGCCTCGGCAGACATGGTGGGGGAAGAGGCCTGTTGCTGTGCAACTGTTAAGGTTCCCCAGCCCTTCTCACTCACAGGCTTGACCTCCAAGGAGGCCCCAGCTACCTACTTCATTGGTTTGGTGTTTTTTTTCTCTCTGGCCTTTCCAACAGCATCTGGAACCTGAGGCTCAGGGATGCAAAACCCTTGGTTTCTGTGTGTCCTCTCCAGCACCCTCAGCCCAAACCACCCACCAATGCACTTGGCTGTCCCTCTGGAGAAAGCCTCCTAGGCTACAAATTCCACTGTCACCCTCCTGGGAGCTCACAGGTCCATACCCCAGGATAGCTGTGGCATCACATGCCACATGTGTGTGTCTGAGTGTATGAATTCTCACATGCATGGAACATGGGGCATGCCTCACTGCTCCCTAAGAGAGGAGGCAGCACAGCCAGCCTTGCAGGAGGCTTGCAGGCCTGACAGCCACATGGGCATGTCTGACGCTGACTCTGCACTGTGCTGGCTGTGATCTAGTGGCTGAAATGCCATCTGGGGCTGCAATTTGCTGTCAACTGCTCCAAGTGCAGGAGGGGTATTTGGAAGGGGGCCTGCACACAGTAGGTTTCCAAGGGCTAAGATACTTGCACAGTCATACTGCTACTGTCAAAGGCTGTGTTTTTCTTCTTTCCTTTCAAACCCTCACGCCCGTGATGGTGAGCTTGGGATGGACCAGAATGAGCAGGCCTACGTGTCACCTGGCTTGGGGTTCCCCAGCTCTGGAGTGTGGCTGTCCACATGGCCAGGCCATCTACTCTGCCTTGGTCTATCCTCTGGGGGAATGGGGCCATTGTTCCTCTCATCATTCCATAGGCCCACAGTGAGAGAGTAAGGGGGAATAGGTGAGAAGACAGGGAAGGACTGGACAGGGCCATCTTTATGCATGGTCAGCAAGGGTCAGCGAGGGGCAAACGTGCCAGGCTAAGCAGCAAACACAGTGACCTGGACTACGTACAGGGATTCAAGGAGGTGGGGTGAATGCTGCCTGGGGATGGCTAAAGAACAGACCCATATGCAGGGCCCAGGTCACTCCACCCTAGTTAGATGGCTCCCAGGGGCACCATTCTTCTGCTGCACTGAACAGGGGGAGAGCTGAGGCCACAGCCACGCATAGGAGTGGGGTTCAACCCTTAGCCCCCTGGACAATTCTCTCCACCATGAGCCTGGGTGGGGCCAGAGGAGAGTGAGGATAAAAGCTGCATGGTTAAGACCACAGACTATCTGCTCAAGAAGGCTCAGTCTAATCCAGCTCTACCCTCTGCACCATGTGGCTTGGGGCAAGGCCCTTATCTTCTCTGTGCCTCTGTTTGCTCATCTGGAAAATGGGAATGTGAGTTACTCCTCTCATGCTTCAGAGCCATCATTGATATAAAAATGATCAGCACACAAAAAGAAGTGGGAGCAGCGCCTGGTATACGGAAATGCCGGATAAATCCGCTCTGATTTCCAATTAGCAGCCAGGCTGTTTCCCTTTTTTACATCAAAGCTGCACCAGGAGGGTGGACCTGTGCTGAGAGGGGACCCGGAGCAGCCCTCATCCCCACCTGGATGATCTGTTGCCACTGGGATATTTGGGTTAGGCCACAGTGTCAGACGCTATCCCCCTAACCCGCCACCCGGAGGAGCAGATCTTAGCATCGCTGCCCATCACCCATCGGCAGCCCCCTCTCTCTCTAACTCTCAGAGAATTTACCACATTATCATCAACAGCAAACCAGGCCTGGGGGAGCTCATCCTTCATGACTCCCTACTTTTATCTCATCAGTTATGGAAATGCATGCAAATGAAGGGGCTCTGGAAAGCACCAGCACAAAACAAATGAATCCTCCTCTTGCAATGCCAACACTTCAACACTAGCAGCAATTGCAGTCGGCTTCTCTGGACCACAAACCAGTGGGGCTGATGAGGTGACCTGGGACCCAAGATCTCCCAGGGTACTGGGTGCCCTCAGGGAATGGGCTTCACACAACCATGACCACTGTGTGGGACCTCAGGATGACTGATTCTGAATTCCAATGTTTCCACTTTCCAAAAAGCTCACAGGAGCCCACCCACTCCCCCAGGCAACCAGAAGCACCTGCAGGGTCAACAGAAACCCAGCATCTGACTGCTGGCTCCTGGACAGGTGGTCAGTAAGGCTGTGATGACAGGGGACAGTCCTTCTAGAGTGGGAGGGAAGAAGACAAGGGAGCTCTGCTGACTTGATTTGGGTCCCAGATCATCCCAGGATAGAGCTGGGAGCCTAATCCTGTATCAAAAACAGCAAACAGATTGGCGCCTGCATCTAGTCTCTGATCTGTTGAGAGGAGCTGCCTCAAGTGCTGTGTGGAGAAGGATTTGGAGGCTTAACAGGAAGATAGAGATCTATTAGTGATGTCTGGCATGGGTACTGGGTGGGGAGGGGCCACTCTTGTCAAAGGATTTGTCATCCCTGCCATATTCTCCCTGGCTTTGCTAACTCACAGGCTCACGGGGTAACGGCAGTGGCCAGGGGGAATTCTTCCCCAGTGGACAGACGTCTGCACCTGTGTTTCCACACGTGGGCACCCAACCTTGCCCCAGCAGATGGTGCTCTCAGCCCACACACCTTGTTCCTTTTCACCTGCTGGGTCACTTGGGCATGAAAAACTGCCAAGGTCTCCACATTGGGCATATCAGGCCTGATTTCATCATTGGAACCTGAACTAAGCATGGTTGGCCCCAGTCACCCAGAAGTACACCCATGGGAAGCCAAGGGCTGGGTGGCAGCTCCAAGGGCATGGTCTAGTTCACCTTTGAACCCTGGTACAGAGCAGGTCCAGAAAGAAAAGACAGAAGGAGGGAGACAAGATGGGGGGAGGGGAAGGGAAGGAAAGATACATGGAAAGAGAGGCATGGTGGGGGAAGGGGAGGGAACACAGCTTTCCACATCAGCTGCAGCAGTGTGCCCGCCACCTGCTCTGCTTCTGGTACCACTCCCCACCTCTCCAGCTAATCCTAATCCTAACCATAACCCTATTTTAGTTACCAAATGTTTAAAAAGTCATGTACCTTTCATTCCCAAAACATTAGTGTATAGCTATTTTCGTAGATGGAGGAGGGTTAGAATACTCAAAGCCTAGGGGAGGTAACAGTTGTGCTGGAAGTGACCTGTGTAGCTGCTATCAGGAACATGGCTTCTGCATGGGACTTCTGGGATGCTTGCTCTTGTGCCCTAGACCTCATGCTACAAGGCAGCTCAGGCTGCCACAATGAGGTCGAGGTGGGGAGGAACCAAAGCCCCTGGCCCCCGTCCAGGCCTGGCCAAGCTCCCAGCCAGCAGCCATGACCCACATGCTAGCCAGGGATCCTCCAGTGCCGGTGTGCCATGCAGAGCAGAACACAGCAGAACACAGCAGAGCAGCCTCCAGGTAACTCCTGCCAGAAGGCAGGTGCACCAGTGGCATCAGTGATGGCTCAGGCACAAGGCCCCAGGCTGGTCTCTTCCGTGACAGTTGATAACCCTAATGCACCCCGAACACACACTCATCCCTGCTTTTCCCCCTCAGACTGCACGTCCATGAACCAGGACTGGAGCAGGAGTTGGGGAGGCCAGGACCACAGCTCTCACCTGAGATCAGCGCTTGGGAATTTCTCATGGGGAAGGAGCCAGTCATGCCGTAGACACTGCTGTTGAAGACCACAGAGGCACCACTGACGATGGCCATGCAGACAATGGTGACAGTGAAGAAGCCACGGGTCCAGGAGGAGGTGTCCACTTTTACCAGCACCGTCATCACCACAAAGACAGTCAGTGAGACCGTCAGCGAGGCCAGGACACGGATGCGCACTGGAATCCTGCAGGGAGGATGCCAGCAGTAATTAGGCCTCCTGAAGCGGTGGCAGGAGTGGGGGTAGGCAGGCTGGCTGGGGGGACCCTCCTGAGAAGTCCAGTGGAGGAAGGGTCCGAAACCTGCCTTGCTACTTTATGAGCTGTGTGGCCTTGGGAAAGTGACTTGGTCACCTGGTTTCACCTTCTGTCCATGCCCAGAAGGGAGGAAGACTGATCTACCTGCAAAGATGGTTGTGTTGCTGGTGAGCTGTGTGTGGCTTCCCTGGTTGCACTGTGTCTTTAGCAAGCAACATCTGGCTCCGGACAAGCGCTCCCAGTGGCAGTGGTCTCTTGCTGTTGGCTTGCAGACCCAGGGACCAGTGCCTGCACCTGTTTCGTGGTAGAGCTTGCCTCCTGTTTAAACATAGGAACCATCTCTTCCATTATCCTTAAACTTGGCAGGAGGGGGTGAGAAGGTGAGGGAGGGGAGCAGAGAACATCACCATCCTCATCATCAACACTCAGCCTGTGCCAAGCACTCCTCTAAGTGCTGTCTGGCTGTTAGCTTCATTCTTGCAGCAGTTGTATAAGGCAGGTATCTTTATCCCAGCCCACGTGTACAGAAAAGGCTTGGGGGTGGGGAACGGCGCTGGAGGCCACTTGCCGGAGGCCACTCGGCCATGCCTGTGTCTGTGCTCTCTGGACACTCTTTTGACTCTCTAGATTACAGCAAGTTGGGGGTGGGGGGGCTGGGGCCCTGAAGGAGGAGGCAGGGGAGGCAGGGCAGGAGAGTCCTTTAATGAGGTCTCAGTGGCGATGTGCAGTAGCTGATGGCAAGCTAATGCAATCTGGAGATGGGGAACAGCCACACATTTCCCAGCCTCAGCATGGTCCTAGGGGGGCACAATTTTATTCCAGGGAGAGAGAACCCCTCCTCCAGGGGCTGCTTAAATCATCAGATTAGACTAAGCTTTAAACCGGATTGGAGGTTTAGTTCATTTTCCTGTTAACCAGTTGGTGGGGGCTGAGAGAAAAGCCAGATTAGATGCACACAATTTTTTTTTTTTGATTAAAAAAAGACATACTTGAAAGGTAGAAATATGCGTGTACAAAGAGGTGTGAGCTGACGAGCGTGAAATGCAAGGGAGGCTGTTTTCCAAGTTTGTGTGTGGCCCCAGCTAATCTCAGCTTCCTCTGGATCCTCAGCTGAAGGCAAGGGACGTGCAGCCTCTGCTTCATCGGGGCACAGGAGACGGAGGAAGTGAAGAGATGGCTTGGTGTGGCAGGAGGTGGCCATGGGGAGCTGGGACGGGGGTTCATTCTGCAACTGTGCGACCTCAGTGTCATGCTCATTTATAATGAACATGCATGTGTGGTTAGCATGCATGTGCAAAGATGTGGGGGATGCCAGGGACACAGGCATTTCATGCCACCATGCTTAGTGCTCCATAGGGAGGTCACGACAGGCTACCTGGGGACAACGTCCAAGCTGGACCTTGAGGATGAGCAGGTGTCTTGGGAAACAGAGCATCACGTGTTCAGGGATTGGCTATGAGCCTGGTCTGCAATGGTGATGGAAGCACAAAGGCAGGTGTGAGGCTGGAGAGACACAGAGCAGGTCAATGTCCACTAGAGCTGTTGTCCATCAATGACTGTGGTAGTGGGTGGAGGAACACTTGGGCCCCACCCCCTTGGGGGCATGCCCTACTACTCCTGCGCCCTGCAATCTTTGCCAGAGCCACTCTCTGCTCTCCATGGACACTGGCTAGCTGAGGCATCCTCATCAGGTTCCTTCCCTTCCTTCTCAGTCTCATTCTGAAGTCCCCTGCCTTCACCTGCTGATCTAATAACTTATAACCTCGTTTGAATGTCTACTGCCTTTGGGGACCTCCACATGGAGTTGGTCACTAAGACATCCCTCCTGGCTCTGCAGGGGCTATGGCCCCCTGGACCTGGGGCCAGTGTACACCAGGTACCCTGGAGGCAGGCTGGCAAGTATCAACCCGGCTGCTCCTAAACAGTCAGTGTAGGTCACAGTGTGTCACTGTGCAGCGGGTTGCAAGATAGGGGTGTGGCACAGGCAACCACACAACAGGTGCAGCTGGTTCACTTGCCCCAAGGGGAGAGCAACAAATGCCAATGACTTGTCAGGTAACCCCTGCGACTCCTGGGCCTCAGCCTTCTCAACGGTGACACACATGTCCTGGACAACTAGTGATTCTAAATATGAAGAGATCCCAGGACAGAGGCTGGGGACAATGGTTTGAGTTCTAACCATAAGAGAAGTTGCAAGAAGGGACCAGCTGTTAATACCTGCCAGCTTCGAGTTAGGCAGGAATGTGCTGCTGCCCCAAGTCTGTCCCTGCCAGGCCACACACTAGGGGACACAAAAGTGGCTTGGTAGGGAGCTAAGGATTCCCCACTCAGGCCTAAAAGGGGAATGGCCAGGGAGGAGTGGGAGTCGAAGCAGGTGCATCCCCAGAGCAGGACAGCTTTGCCCCCCCCCCCCATACCTGCACAGGTCTCCTCGCCTGTTGCTTTCCTGCTCCACAAATCATTCCCACCAGAGCCTCTATTCTTGGGGCCCCAGGTCCTGAATGAGATCCCACCGAGTGGGTGTGTGAAGCGTGGGGGGCATGGCCTTTTCAGATCTGAAGTAGGCAGCTGCAAGCCCACCCCAAAGGCACTAACAGCGCCCCCTGGCCTCCCTCTGCTTCCCCCACCCCAGACAGGGAGAGGGGTCCAGGAGACTGTGGTATTCTTGGGATTTTAAGGACAATCTAGACAAGTTCCATCCAGTGTCTAAGGGATGAGAGCTTGGCAAAGGTGACAGCTCCAGATCTAGGGTCCTAGGGCAGCCCACACTGTCTGGAAGATTCCTGGGCAGCACGGCCAGCTGCGCCTGAGCTGGTCCCCATCCTGCTCCTCCTCGTGAGAGCTCAGGACCCCAAGGCAAGTGATTTCTTCATAAGTTCCTAAAATGTAAATGCTCCTCATCAGTATTTCTGATGCTGTGAGTTTAACATAATAAAACACTCGGTGATTATGGATGAACCGGCAGGGGAGAAGAAGGGTTCTCCAGGAGGAGAGACCAGGAGATGTTTCCATCACTTACATTAAATAAAAAACCACTTAGCCCCAAACCATCTCCCTGTGTCCTGAAACAGAGGCTTGTCAGCAATTTCCCGCCCCACTCCCACCCCTCCTGGAATCCAGGCAAGGACAAGGGCAAGGGTGGGCCTGGGGTGGGGTGTGGGCTGGGCCCCTATGGAGAAGGTCCCATGACCGCTGAGCCACCTGTCTATCTGGCTTGGGGCCCTGTTGGAGACAGACCCAGACACTCCTCCCATGCCTTTCTCTGTAGCAGCAACCTGAGATGAGGCTCTAGCTGGAAGCCTCCCTGGTCTGACTCTGACTACGGGGAAAATCCATTACAAAGCTGGGGGACGAGGGGTCAGGGGTTTCAAGGACAACTGCATGGTGACAAGTTCACAGCTGCAGCCCTGGCTCCAGCCTCCCGCAAAGCTAGCTCCCCTTCTCAAAGCAAGGTCACCCATTGTGCTCAGGTTTACAGGTCATCTACTGCTCTGAGGAATCCCCACTGCAGCCAACACTGATGCTGCTTGTCAACAGCAGTGAGCTAAAGCCAGCCCTATGGTCTTGGCATATCCCTTGACCCCCACCAGGAAAGTGGGGCAGCGTCCCAGCCTCCCTCCTGGAGTGATGTAACTGGAGGTAGCCTGGGCATGAACCCCTTGTGAGGGTTCAAGCAGTGATTCTGGATGCTGGGAGTGACAGGGAGCTGGGCTCTTCTGGCTGGATACTCACAGCCCTGAGATTGCAGAACAGCATACAGTGAGAGAGGTCAGGAAAAGGAGGCATGTGAGGTGAGGGCTGTCATACCGTTACAGTGCCTAGTCTCGCCAGGACCTGGCTCTGTCCTCTAGGGGACAGAGAGCCTGTGTGTCTGGCAAGACACAAGGCAGGTGGTGTAGGGGTCATATAGGGGCACATTCTCTGACACTGTTCCACTGGGGGGTGGTGATCTTTGTCCCAAAATGTGCCACCAAACATCCCTGAGGCCAAGCTACAAAAACTGTGCAGCTTCTTAACAGCCCTCTTGGAGTATTTGTTCATTAGCCACTGTGTAAGTTGCTCTGATCCCTGGAGCCAGCAGCTGAGAGCCAACAAGGTGGGCAAGAGGCAGTGAGAGGCAGTGCCATGGGCACAGGCATGGGAGACATTGAGCGTGGCTGATCCCCAGCATGTGAGACACTCATCACTGCCTCCAATTCCAGCCACTGGGGACCCATAGGTTGCAGAGACAGCCCCCATGCAGGAGGCATGGGGGAATACTGGTGCATTTGGCCTTAGCACATGAAGTGCTTTCCTGTTCTCCCACACCCAGACAGACATCACTAATCAATCACAGCACATGCCCTGAGGCTAGATCTATATGTAACTCCCACTCAGATCTGGAGAGTCACTATAAATTGATCAGAGCTATATAAAATACATCTGCCATTAGTGCAAGTTCCAGGATCACATGTAGTCATTGATTGTGCCTGGTGGCAGTTTTGGCCAAATGCAGGCAAAATTGCTAGAGCCACACCTTGTCAAACTCAAACTGAGGTTGGACTGCTTTTCAAGAGGATTTATGGCCCTGTTAACTTTCTAATCTCTTAGGTCACTTCTTCTATGGTATATCCAGATATACCCCAATCCCAAGGTCAGAAATTTTCTCACCTTCTCTGTGAGCTGGTCTTACAGCCAAACCAGGGGTATAGAAGCAAGCTCACCCTACAGCCAAGCCAGGGTGGGTGGATGTATTGGCTTCCAACTATTGTAACAAATGTTTTTAAGACCAATGCCCATATCCTGGTGCTTGCCCCACTGCACCGTCCATGTATGGTCCCCTGGTGGCCAGGCCTGTGGCCCAGGCAGCAGTTGCCCAGACAGGCTCCCTGAGAGGAAGATTCATGTGTCCCCATCAATCTCCAGCCCTGACATGTCGCTGACAAGTGACAACACAGCCCCCTGGCTGGCCAGCCCCAGCTCAAGGATCCTACTTCCTACTTCTGGTGAAAATGCCAGCCTCCCAGGGTAGTGGCTACCAGCTGAGCAGCCAAAAAAAAAAAAAAAAAAAGGCAGCTGTGAGTATGAGTATCAGGGCAGGTAGGAGGCGAGGGCAAGGGCCAGGAGAGGGGGAGGGAGGAAGGCAGCCTACCTGTTGACAAGCAGGAAGTTGGCCACGAGGCACAGGAGGGAGGGTACGGTGGAGGCGATGGCCAGGTAGCTCTCAAAATAGTTCTGGAAGTACACAAACAGGAGGCTGCTGTGGTCACTTAGGGATGCAGACATAGGACCAGGACACCCCACTGTCTTTGGACACTGGGAGCCATGTTGAATCCACCCAAAAGTATGGGTTCTCACCCATCTCCATCCTAAGAAACACACTCAGTCACTCAACCAATAACTGCCAGGGTCATTCATGCTCAGTGCTGGGGACTTGAGGCAGGCTGGATTCCTGTTCCAGTCTCCAGTGATGCCCACACTCCCACCATTCCACCTGTCCTATGTGTGGTCCCAGGCATAGGCCCTTGGCCAAAATACAGTCATCCAGCAGATTTCCTTAGAGTCCCACCACAACCTTGCAGCCAAAACTCAGAAACCCTGGACCCGGTCCCCTTTGGGGGAATTTTGTTCCTTTGGAACTCTGGAGTTGCCCACTTCTTGAAGCTGCTCCAAAAGCCCTGATCATTTAGGGAAGTGGCTCCTGGACGGCCGGAACAAGAGTAAAGGGGCCTCTTCCTGACTGTACCCAAGGGGAAGATTCTCCCAAAGATACTGTGTGGGACTCAGCTGCAGCAGCTGCTTGGGCAGCTCCAGGTCTGGCCCCATTCAGAATTGCCTGCACGCTCCCCTGCCATCCCTCTCTTCAAAGACAGAACATTGACCAAAGCCTGACTCTGGCCAGTGCAGATCCAAGCATGAGCTCCAGGCTGGGTTAAGTTCTAAGTGGTGGTGACAGCTGACATGTGCTAAGCATTTACTGTGTAACAGAAGCTGTGTGGTGTCTCCATTCTGGACCCTGAGAGATGTACTACAACTGAGGTGCCTCTTCAAGGCTTTAATATGTCACCTGGCACCTGCAAGGATCATAAAGAGCCCAAGATGGAGTTCCCATTCATTCTGGGGGCGGGAAGAGCCTCAGACACAGAATTTTCAGCAGCTTAAACTCCACAGGTGCAGCTGTGGGGCGTACTCATTTCCAGGCAAGGGAACAAACTCCAGGTAGGAAGGTGGGCAAGCAGTTGAGCACACAGGAATGAGAGTTAGTCTGGAGCAAGGTCCCAGAGAAGTGGGAATGAAGTGACACTTTGAGACTCAGGTCAGAATCCCTCCTGCCCAGACCCCAGCCCTGCAATGCTGGGGGTGGGGTGGGGGGGCAAGTCCTCTTCTGCAGTCAGGAGTGGCACTACAGGGCTTTGTGGTCTTCGAAAGCTGCACCCTGAATAGGTCAGGTGGCCTTGCAATTAAAATGATAATCACAGCTCTTGTGGTCCATCAACCATGAGCCTTAGAAATAGCCTCTGCCAGGAGCTTCCACCTCATTGTTCCTGTTGGTGGGCTCAGCCGAGCCTGTCCTGGGCTAGGGCAGCCAGTCAATTATGCCCTGACACGGTGGCTGGACCTACGTGAGGCTGGGTGGGAGCCATGGACAGGGCCCCCTGGGAAGAGGAGGTTTGGAGGGGAGGTGGACCTACTCAATGTGAGGTCCCCTCACCTAGGTGTTTCCAGTAGCCTCAGGTTCCCCCTTAGTAATGGGGGTTTTCCAGGCAACAGGACAACATGGCTCACCAATCATAAAGCGGAAAACCATGTATTCAACTTTGCAAAGCTTTTCAAGTATTCACAACTTGTTGGTTGGAGGAGGGGGTTGGGGGAGAGGAGGAAGGCTGACACTGGCAGAGCAGTTTAAACCACAGCCTGAGGCATCAGCATCCCACATCAGGCTTGATTTCTAATTGCTCTACTTCCAATCTATTTCACCACTAATAATCACCTGGGAAGGCAGCAGAAGAGGCCTAAGTGTTTGGGCCCCTGCCACCCATGAAGGAGACCCAGATGAAGTTCCTGGCTCCCTGCTTCAGCCTGGCCCAGCCCTGGCTGTTGCACCCATTTGGGGGAGTGAACAAGTGATGGAAGATCAATCTCTTTCTCTGCACTCCTGTTCCCTCCACCCCAGGGAGCCTGCTGCTTCCCTATATATAACTGCCTTTCATGAGGGCAATGGTGCTGGGGCTGTGAGCTGTGTGGACCTCCAGGCACATGGACCAGGCACATGGTGCAGCTTTGTTCCTGCAGACCCATGAAATCTTGCAGGTTGGCCAGTGAGCTTGGACCTTACTGGGCTGCAGGTCATGACCATGATTCAGATTAAAAGGCAGGGCTGGCATGCAGGTGGAAGCCACATAGCATCCACAGGTGACACATCTTGCCCAGGCAGGTTTCTCTGCCTCAGCAGGTTGCTTGGCAATTCCATGACCATTGGCCATGGCTGTGTGGCCACTGTCTGTCAGACCAGTGCCTCTTTCTGTTTTCAACCTATCCCTTAATGTACTTGAAAGTGTTGAGGCCCTGAGCACCAACACTCTGAAGGTGAGCGCAGAAAGGAGAAAGGGGGAAAAAAGAGAGAAAGGACACAGCAACCCCCTCCCTGCTCCTCAGGGAACAGGTACAAGCCCAGAGCTGGGGAACAATGGCTACAAGAGGGACAAAGGGAGGAGGAAGTAACTGGGGGAGAAGGGTCCATGCAGGCTTTTGGAACGCTGAGGAAATGGCAGGAGTAGTCTGGTAGGTACAGGAGTGGGCACAGGTAGAAACAGGCATGCCCGCAGGAGGGCGCTTCCCAGCCAGCCAGGACTCCTGTACAAGGTAACTGGTGGCAATCAGCCTCAGACACTCCTTAGTTGCAGCAGATTCTGTTGAGCAAGAGAACCTGCCTGTGCTGTCCATCCCTCCCTGCCCAAGGCGGGGGAGGCAGGGAAGCTGATGGAACTCCAGGCTGCCAGGCTGCCAGGCAGCCAGGCAGCCAGGCCCCCGCCTACACCCCAGATGCTGCTGTGAGAAGGGACCCCATCAGTCACCATTCCAAAATCAACATGGACATGGGCAGGATCTTGCTCCTAGGAACAAAAGGAAAACTCCACTCCTCTGACTCCCCTGCCCCTGCAATGACCTGGGCTCTGGCAGTCCCTGGCAGCAGTAAGGTCATCCTTGACACCTGCAGCCAGCCAGAGAGACGGCATCCCTGGGGAATGCTGGGTCACCCTGACGCTTGAATCCCACACAGAGCCCACCTCATCTGCTCTCATCATAGCCTGCAAAGGTGTGATGTGCTCCCATGTTGAAGATAAGAAGGCTGAGACTGCCCCAGGTGAATGAACTCATAGGGGCACCCACCTGGGCTAGTGCTGTTAGCAGGACCTTCTGCAGCGAGGCGCAGGGATCAAGGGTATTGTCACTTTACAAATATGGGGACCACTCCAGCTCAGGATGCCTGCTTCATGGTCACATGAGCCCCAACATTGGTACCACTCTGCTCCAGTGTGGGGGAGGGGCAGCCCAGGGGTCTTCCCAGGGCTGTTAGCAGGGATCTGCTCTTGGGGCCTCAAGGTGAGTGTCTCCTTATAAGCCCTTATGTATGGGTGTTCCGCCTGAGACAGTCCACACTGGGTGGCACAGAGCATGGCAACATGCCAACCCTTCCCTTCCAGGCCCACTATCCCCAGTAGCTGAGGGGCAGGCATGAAGACTACAAATTCAGACTAGGACCAGACCCTGGCAGGGATAAGGACGGCTTCTGAGAGTGGCCGGGCGAGGGTTTGCTTAGTTGGCTCACGATGGCACTAAGGCAGGTCATTTTCAACAGCTTCACTCTGGCCCTGGTTGCAAACACCAGGAAGGGGGAAAGCAGCTCTTCAAACACAATGTAAAGCCTGGCGGAGCCGGCTGGCCAGATGTGAGGCCTGTTCTTTTATGACGAGGAATGTTCTCTCCCTGCCGACACACCGAGAGGTGCCACGCTAAGCATCTTCCAGAAGAATTTAATTCCGGGCTCAGAGTCCAGGTGAAGAGGTTTCTCCAGGCAGGGAGGACCCGAAATGAGCCCGTTTATCTCTGGCAGGCTCTGGCTAAGTACCCTCTCCCCTGCATGCCATTTGGGCACTTTAAAGCAAGCGCAGCAAATGAGTCACGTGCAGCCTCTGTGGCCTGCAAGGTGGCTGTGCGCAGCCCCTGCCTCCAGAAGGGCAGCGGAGGCAGCTGGGCTCCTGCGGGGCCGAGCAAAAGCGATTCCGGTCCGGGGGTGGCAGCTCAAGGCAGCAGAGCGTTACCTGGATCACACGGGCATGAAATTAGCAGCAGCGAGCAGGCGGGAACTGAGAATAGCTCAGGGCAAACTTGCCACTTTCCCATAGCCAAGCTCCCTGGCCTGGGAGGCTGCAGGCCGGCTGCCTATGTCCTGCTCCTTGGCCAAAATCACTGCTGGAGGCCCCCTGTGGGGGTGGGGGTGGGTACTGGTCCGGCAACATCAGTGAGTGTATGGTCAAGGGCACAGAGGAGCAGGCAAAGAGGGAAGGGGCAGTGCCTACTGTGGAACCCAGATCAGCCAGGCTGGATGGGGTGTGTGGCAGAACAGGATGGGCCTGCAGGCAGAACAAAAGCTGGGGGCAAAGTCAGTTAGAAAAGGCCTGCACAGCTAAGCCATGGCAGCCACCATGGGGACAGGGGACAGGGAGCTCTGCTAGCCCCTGTGGCTCTCAGGCTGCCTCCAGGTCTAAGTATAAGAACTTGGAGGTCTGGCCAGCCCTCAGGCAGAGATGCAATGTTGCAGGCCCTGGTCAAGGACCACTTGGGGTTACAGGTCCTCACATAAGCCAGCTGCAAGGCAAGATTCTGCCCCAGAGCCCTGCTTCCAGCCACAGGGAACCAGACTACCCCTAGAGCCACAGGAAGCTGACACACCCCTACTCTGTCTCCATGGCTGCCTCCTGGCCCATCCTGCTTCTACCCACCTTCCACTCTGCTAGGAAGGAGGGACCTCACCCCACTGGTTTCTGAGATACCCACATCCTCATCCACCATGACCTCTGATGTCACCTCTGGGAGTCCCCCATCATGAGGGCCCCAGGTCACCCTTCCTCTTCTCAGCCCCTCTTCAAACATCCCTCTTTTAGTGCCTCCTCAGGTCAGTCACTCACTGTTGCTGCCCCATCACCAGCCTGTGGCTCACTCATTCACCCACC